TTTTAGGCTGTTGCAATGAGGTTCGATTTTTTCCCAAAAAAGAAAAATTTTGGGAAAAAAATGCTTGTATTTTCAGATTCCTGCACTTCTCAAGGAAATTCTTATTGATGATCAGGACATGATTAATCGCCAGATGCATTTGACACGAGTACCAGCTCGAGTTAATGTTATCGAGATTATTCGTCAGGTTATCATCTTTGCTTAATTTTCTGTTGAAGCCGAAAATCACGTACGTCTTCCCTGCCGAGAGAGGAAAAATGGAAGATTCAGAAATTCTAATATTGAAAATCTCAAAATAGCAACGCGCACCAGACTAGTCGCTGCAATCATGTGTTTTGTGCAATTCAGCCCATCGAACGATTGCCTGTTAATGATTTTCACTGCTTTGTACTTTAGTCTATGAAAAAATAGTGCAAACATTGGAAAACAGTTAAAAATTTCATGCACCAGCGCATGAAAGCTGAATTCGAAACCTTGAAGGATGCGTGATTTAAAAATTTCACGCACCTGCGTATGAAAGCTGAATTCGAAATCTTGAAGGATGAATATCTTTCCGTGATTCCCGAGTTAATAGTTCACCCGCCAAAATTTTTACGGGACCGCACGTGTTACCCGCGGGTACGGGAAGGCTGAATTTGAATGGACAAGGTTGAGCGTGGGCAGGGGGTCATTACCCTAAAATTTCAGCTCCCTAGACCTCGAGGTCCCCGAGATATTATTTTACCCGTAAAAGGCTTTCACTGGGTCATACGTGTTACCCGCGGGTGCGGGGAAGCTAAATTTAAATTTGCGGGGTCACACGTGTGTTGGGAACGTTCCCCTAAATTTTCAGCTTCCTAGCTTTTATGGCCCCCGAGTTGAAAGTTGCGGACAAGTTGCTGCGGACACACACACACACACACACACAGAGACAACCTCGTGACAATATATGTTTTGTACTGCTGTTACACAGCACAAAACGCATAAAAACGTTAACCGCTGTGCCTTTTGGAGTTCATTTTTGTTTGTGCCTGCTAAGGGTACTGGTCTTGCAAAAAATGTTTGATGTAGTAGAATGGACTTAAGTGTTATGTGTAAGAAGACATTTTACGATGCAGCAGTCTGTATTTTATCCCTTACCTGTAAACGCTGGTCGAACTTTGCATGCGCGTAGGAGCGGGAATCATTAGTACAGCCTTCTACCGGCCATGTACTGAACAGTCATGTAACTAATTTGCAAAAAATGTTTGATGCTTTATGGATGCAGTGTTTGATACTTCACGCCATTCGTTGACGTTTTCGTTTCAGTACGCAGATTATGTAGGTTCTAAGGGGAATGCGAAAGATACAGTGACATTTGTGTATGGAGCCGATGGAAAGCTACTGGAAGATAACGCCGATAGTTTGATTGAAAGCAGTTTTGGCTTACAGGTCAGACCCGCTTTTTTACTGGCTTCAGGAAATTTTCCTTTCTCGTTAAAGGGTTTTTTTTTTTCAAAATTAGCTTTTTTTCACTTCTGTTTGTTTTCCAATGTATTACTTTCCTTGAAAAGTGACGATACTGAGATAGAAACCTATTGCTGCCGCATTGTCGGCGGTGATCTGCTGGCAAGGCTTTTGATAATTTTCTCTTCCAGCGATTTTTTGGAAGCAAAAAAATTGATAGTATTTGACTTGGTACAGACACGCGGCCCCTA